ATATTAAATGGACAGGGACACCAGTTTGGAAATGACCCAAGAGTTTAAGCAAAAAAATAAAGGACATGAGAAAAGAATGTTCTCTGCCCTTCTTTCCTATCAGAGACAAGGGTTTCCTCCTGTCCTCAGCCTCGACAGCCCTAGAAAGGAGAGTGATCATGCTGCTTTTTCAAGCTGATCAAGAATTTTTTAGTCATCTTTGTATATTAACTCACCTAATACCTGGGGAAATAGTGATGAATATGTTTTGGACTTTTTGATTAACACATCATAATAATGTGAGGAATTTTAAATGTGTTCATTAACTGTGTTTCTGTGGAAGAAGATGGCACATAAGGCTTTCATAATCTCAGGGTCATTTACATTACAATTAAAACAATTTTATACCATACCTGTGCATGCATTCATTTAGTACATACTTATGAAGCCCTACTATGTGCCAGGCACTGTTTTAGGCTCTGAGAATACAACGGTAAACACAAGGTCTTTGCACTAAAGAAGTTTATATTCTAAAAAGGTGAAACATTCAAAGTCCATTCATTCAACAAATATTGAGTACCAAGTGAATGCTGGACACTATTTTAGATGCGTGGGATGCATTGGTAAACAAAACAAGCAAAATTCCTTGTCCTCATAGGGCTTACATTTTAGTGGGAAGAGACAGACAATAAATCATAAACATAACAAATAAGGAAACGATATAGTATGTTAGAGGGTTATAGCTGAGCAAGGGTAGGGAGTTGGAATTGCAATTTTTAGATAAGTGATCAGGGCTGGCCCCATTAAGGCATGGAAGGAGGTAAGGGAGTGCGCTATGCGGCTGAGGGAGAATGTACTAGGCAGATGGAACAGCCAGTGCAGAGGCCCTGAGGCAGGAGCATTCCTGGCAGAAATAAGGACGGCAAGGAGCACAATTAGCAAAGGAAAAAGTAGGAGGAGATGAAGGTAGAGGGGGAGTGGAAAGGGAATAGATCAAAGATCCCATAGGGCGTTGCCCAGTGAAGAGGCCACCATTCACATCTGCAACAATTAAGTGCCGAATGTATTTCTTGCTAAGTGGAGGACAGCAGTATTTGTAAGAAAGAGTGTCTCTGAACAAAGGAATCTGCGACTCTTATATAGTGTTTTGAAAGCATGGGGTTTGGAGGTTGGGGAACTCTTAGAAGCTGGACTGATTAGAGATGAGTTGACCTTTAGCTGTGAAAGAAGGATTACTAGAGTGTGGCTGTTGCTGATTGGCTAATTTTCAGAAGTAAGTCACTGATCAGGAGATTGTTATTGATCGATTAAAACAGATTCTGGTTGTTTCTGGTCACTATGACCAAAGAACAATCAGTATCTTTTTGTTGTTCAACTTGGAATGAAGGAGCTTGCCACTCTGTCTTGCAAGGCCACTGGACAAGTCTTTATCTTTTACTTTGAGGGAAATGAGGAGTTAATACGGGAATTTTAAGCAGTGGAGTGACGGGATTTGACTTATATTTTCATAGGATCTGAAATCTTGGCTGCTGTGTATCAGAGTGGAAGAAGGGAGACAAGTCACTGCAGTCACCCTGATGAGAGATGTATTAGGTTGTTCTTGCATTCCTGTAAAGAAATACCTCAGACTAGGTAATTTATACAAATAGAGGTTTAATTGGCTCACAGTTCTGCAGGCTGTATAGGAAGCATAAGGCTGGCATCTGCTTCTGGGGAGGCCTCAGGAAGCTTCCAATCATGGTGGAAGGCAGCGTGGGAGCAGGCACTTGATAAGGCCAAATCAGGAGCAAGAGGTAGAGGGGGAGGCACCACACACTTTTAAACCACCGGATCCCAAGAGAACTCACTCCCTATCTTGAGGACAGCATCCAGGGCATGATGCTCAACCATTCATGAGAAAGGTACCCCCATTATCCAATTATCTCCCACCAGGCCGCACCTCCAACACTGGGGATTACATTTCAACATGAGACTTGGGCAGAACATCCAAATCTTTTCAGATGTGACTTGAACCACGGTGGTAGTAGTGTGGGCAATGGGGAGTGTTTTTCCCCTTTTTTTTCTTTTTTTGAGATAGAGTCTTGCTCTGTCACTCAGGCTGGAGTGCAGTGATGCAATCTCAGCTCACTGCAGCCTCCACTTCCCGGGTTCAAGTGATTCTCCCACCTTAGCTTCCTGAGTAGCTGGGACTACCAGCATGCACCACCATGCCCAGATAATTTTTGTATTTTTTGTAGAGACGGGGTTTCACCATGTTGGCCAGGCTGATCTCAAACTCCTGAGCTCAAGCAGTCCACCCTCCTCAGCCTCCCAAAATGCTTGGATTACAGACGTAAGCCACTGAGCCTAGCCTGTTTCCATTTTAGATATATGTACTTATAGCCAACAAATAAACAAGATAATCCAGTTAGGCTAAGGGTATTGGAGTAAACATAATCATATTTACTTTTACATAGAATAATATAGCTGGATGACAGGATAGAGAGTAACTGGGTGGGGCTACTTAAGAAGAAGGGATCAGGGGAGTCCCTCGTTGAAGGGGCAAGACCTCAGTGATGAAAAGGAACCAGTGAGGCTTAAGGCTGGTGCGTGTGTGAGGAGCAATGCATAGGCCAGTGGGTCTAGAGGGTGGTGAGGTCAGGGTTGAGGAACCACAAGCCGGGTGGGAGAGGGAAGCTGAAGCCAGATCCTTCTAGGCCTCAGTGCATAGAATGGTTTGAAAAGAGTGGAGCAAGAGAAGAATCAGGAAGGTGGAAGTGGAGACAATATTCTAGTAGACACTGTCCTCATGGGAATTTTACGAGGCCTCGTTGAAGTGATGAAGTAAAATCTAACTGTGAAGTCTTCATGGGGCCAGGGATTCTGTTTCATTGTTTGCTGAATTATGATGCCTAGATAAATAGCGATATAAACTAACTGGCAGCTGTGGTGTATAGACTCGAAATAAAGACACTCAATTACCTGTCTCTGACTTTTAATGCAAAGACTAGGTTAGCTGCAGTGTTTTTCCCAAGACTAAATTATGATCTTGGCCTCCCTCTTTCACCAAGACATCAGAAAAATGGTTAACATTAACTGGGGGCTTCCTGAAATAGACACAGAAGGCACAGAGAACACAGGCTGGTTGTCAAGGTAGGATGACCTAGGATCCAACTGCAGAGGGGATGTGGACTGGGTTCCATTTCTCCTAGAGTTCTGGCTCCCCAGGGTAAGGAGAGTGATTCATTCACCTTTGTAGCCCTGGGGCTCCTAGTACAATGCCTGCAGAACCGTAGAAGCTGATACTACCTTTTAGTGGAATTTGAATGAAGTACGTAGTTTAGATACACAGTACTGAAATGATAAACTCAGAAAAGTAGTCATCTTCACATCTTCTGGTTCACCATTCATAATTGGAAGAAGGATTAGTCATCCTTCTCCCAATTCTCTTACTTGTGTTTTTATATTTCCTGCCCTTGAACCTTTGAACACATCATTTCACTCCTAAATCTCCACTATGGGTAAGCAAAGAGAAAGGGAGAAATTAAACTCATGCCAATTCTTCCATTTTTTTTTTTTTTTTTCAAATAACACTTTTTAAATATTTGATGGAGACTGAAGAAATTCATGCTATATAAAGATCTTAGGATAACTTTTTAATTTTTTTTTGAGACGGAGTCTTGCTCTGTCGCCCAGGCTGGAGTGCAATGGCCCGATCTCCGCTCACTGCAACCTTCGCCTCCCGGATTCAAGCGATTCTCCTGCCTCAGCCTCCTGAGTAGTCGGGATTACAGTAGTTGGGATCACGACGCCCGGCTAATTTTTGTATTTTTAGTAGAGACGGGGTTTTGCCATGTTGGTCAGGCTGGTCTTAAACACCTGACCTCAGGTGGTCCGCCCGCCTCAACCTCCCAAAGTGCTGGGATAACTTTTTTTGTTTTTTAAGGGCTTTCTATGTATACATTATCCCAAACGACCCTGAGAAGCAGACATTTGGGCAAGATCACAAGCCAGTAAGAAGGGGAGCTGGAATTCAAGTCAGGTTGTCTGATGACAGTGGCATTGCTACTTACTCCTCTTTTCACAGTTTGGGGCTTTCATTTGTCCTTTCTTCCATACTTGCCCCAGAAATGTTTAAATACTCTGAGAAACAGTGGGAACTCTATAAATAAAAGATCTCTCTGTATTTTTACATAATCAAAGCTAGAGAGTTTAATGTGGCGCAGGCCACTCGGTTAGTGGAAGCAGAGGGCACGCCATCCCCAGCTCCAGTTGCAGTGAGTGGTGTTGGATTACCCACCTCTGGGATGGTCACTGCTGAGCGAAGCTGGACCCGGGACTGCAGTCAGAGAAAGCGAAGGAGCTTGGCTGCACAGAGGCAAGAACGGGCCACGGATTCTTGCAGCCAAAATGTCATCTGGTTGGGAAAAGCCGCTTGGCAATTTGCAGCTAGTAGAGGGGCGGGGGTGGGTGGAAAATGCAGCATCTTAAGTTCAAGATTCAGGGTGAAGGCTGGCTAGACTTAGCAGGGGTCTGTATCTTTAGATGAGATGTGAAAAACACCCAAGCTCAGGGACCAAATGACAGGGAGCGCTGTGTCTGCAGCAACGGTAACAGGGACCCAAGGAAAGAAAACACGAGGCGCTGAAGGCGCTCCAAGAGGTCCCCGCCGTTCAGACTCTCCCCGTGGCCCGGGCGCGTCGTCCTAGGGGGCGGCTTCTGCCCTTGGTTTCCCCTTCTTAAAAATCCAGGCGCAGGCAGGCTGAGCTCGGGCGGCTGAGACACCTTCACGTGGCGGGGGAAGGGGTGACAAAGAGAGGGAGGCCCGAGAGATCCCGCTTGGCACAGGCCCGGGTCAGCACAGGGAAGAAGGCCCGCCTAGACCCGAACGGCGCGCCCGGGCCGGGCCCTAGAAGACCTCGCGCCAAGTGGAGCGGGATCCGGAGCTGCGCTGCTGCCTCCTAGGAGCGCGGGGCGGGGCCGGGGGCGGGGCGGGGCGGAGCCGCGGCGGGCGGGCGCGCGGGCGGCGCGGAGGGAGGGTGTCGCGCCGAGGGAAGCGGCCCGCGGCGGAGGGAGGGGAGGCCGAGTCCTGGAAGCGGAGCTCCGCGCTGGGACTGGTTCCTTCGCAGCCATTTTCTGTCCAACCAAACAGCCGATTGGAGACGGGAGCCAACCAGGGCTGCATTGGAGGTTTGTGTCTCGCTTCGGCCAATGATCGCTCCTAAACCGACTCCACTTTAGCTCGAATGAAATGTCCGTCTCCTCCCGGCGCCGTCCCCGCCGCCAACGCCGCCGCGGCCGGGGGCACTCGCCTCCCGCCCTCCCGCGCGGGCCGGGGCCGGGGCCCGCGCCTGCGAGGCCGCTCCCGCAGCGGGCCGGGCCGGGGAGCGGGCGCGGGGCCGCGGCGCGGCTCTTTGTGCGCCGGGCTGAGGAGCGGCGGGACGCGGGCCAGGCCGCCTCCCGCTCGCCGCCGTTGAGCTCCGGGCCCGAGGCCGAGTAGGGGCCGCGGGGCTGCTTCGGGGCTCGGCTCTCGACGGCTTCCCGGGCCGGCTCCATTTTGTGCGGGGAGCTGGCGGAGGGGCGGGAGACGCGGCGCGGGCCCTGGCCCCGTAGCCCCGGCCGCGGCGCGGGCCCCCGGGGGCGCCCCCCTCCCGCCCGCGGGGCTGTGGCGGGGCCCGGCGCTTTGTCTCCCCGCACATCCCGAGGGCCGCGCGGCGGGCGGGAGGCAGGCGTTGGGCGCGGGGGCCGGGGCGGCCGGGCAAGTCAGGGGATGCGCTCTGGGGGTGGTCTCCCGGCACTCGCTGGGCTGACAGGTCGCCCGGACCGGGCCGTGGGGCTGGGGCCACCCAGGCACCTGCGTGGGGAGGAAGGCATGGCTTTGGCTTCCCCGCAGTCTGGTTTGCGCGCAAAGAATGCAGCCATCTGGCGGCTTGCGGTCCCAGGACTTGCCCCGAAGGTGGGAAGGAAGCCCTTCGGATTGGACTAAGGTTTTAATCATTAGTGGTGGGAGGCGGGAGGATATGCAGGGCTTTAAGGAACGGTAGTCTTAGAGAACAAAGAATTACAGAGCACCCACAAATCATAATCTCGCTCAAAGCACTCTAACAGGATAATTTAAACAAGGTTAGGTAGCCTGCGACCTTTAAAAAAAAAATGGCATCCCACTAACCCGCATGGACCCCATAGTTCCGTGGTTCGTGCCACAGATCACTGGGGTGGCTTCATCTCTCTTAGTATGGAAACTAATCAGCAACATAAAGTGATGAAAGCAAACGGATCACTATCAGTGGCACTAATCAGTGGGGGTTTTATTTGTAAAGTATTGAAAGTCTAACCAAAATTCCTTAAAAGGCAAATTATTCCTTCCCTGCGCTGCTCTTGTATCTTAATTTAAGGATTACTGTATATTGATGCAAAACTCTGGTTGTTGATGCCAAAGAATGGAGGGTGGAGGAAGGGACTACTGCTTTTCTTGGATACAAATTTGCATTTCTTCAAACATTAAACAGATGTATGCATTCCCTTGAGCTTTTACATATATCAACCTGCCCTTAAAATATATACCATATGAGGTGGCCGTGTTTCTCTTTAATGTACTGAATCTAAATATATACTGAATCAACTATTTGGGTGAGGGAGTGTGGTGTGGCTCCCCTGGCCATGTCCCCCTCCCCCATTCCAAGCAAAATACATAAATATAGCTCCCATATTTTAAATGTTCTGAGGGCTTATTTTTTCAGACACCCTTTAAAAAAATAACATTTCTCGTTCCAAGGAAGGACTTTTCTGAGCAGGTTTGGGGTTAGAGGATACTATTAATATTTGAAAATAAATTATAAGTTACTTTTAATATTATAGCAAATATCAAGCAGTCTTTGCTACCTGGACCCTTTTAGTGGCATTAAAAACATTCAATTCAGTAGCTACAATTTTTTCTGCTGTTTGCTAGATTTCATGCTTGGATGCGTATCAGTATGTCTTCTCCCTTTAAAATTAACACCGAAAGGATGTGTTTTTGTTTTGGCATCCTACCCGTCACCCATTTAATTGTTTCCTTTGAAAAAGAGAAGGGAACAAATGAGAAATGAAACTTGTAACACTGCAATTGATACTAATTTGTTCAGCTATTTATGCCTTACAGTGAGACTGAAGTGCTATTTCGATGCAATTTTAGTCAAAAATGGTGGTGCTTCAAATTATAAATAAGGGTCTTGATTGTGTTGTTTTGATACCCTCTCAGTGCAGAATGTATCTTCATTACAGTATAATCTGAGATTCTTAATTGGAAAGCATTATATTCTCAGATAATTTTTTCCTCCTTTTAAGTGATAGAATGCCTAAATGTTACTCTGAAACATGTAAGAAAACCGCCACCAAAAAATTAAGTTGATAAGGGGTGTATTTGCGTCTTGGGTGTTAATGTTTTAAGTGATTTAGATGTATAATTTTTTGGCGTCTTGCGTATTATATAATTTGGTCCCTATTTGGTGTATTGTAATGAATGTTTATGATGAATATGGCTAAATTCAGGGTTATGTTGGAAAATCCATTTTCTCCTTTCCCCATGGAATTAACTTGTTTGTAAGTTCTCCAAAATAAATCTTTCAAGTCAACAAACATTTATTGGATGATGCCTTTTTATACTATTTTATATCATGCACTCCATGGATTATGAATCGTAGTCAAAATTGTACATGCCCTCTTTAATTTTATGAGAAAAAAAGCCTGTGATACATTTGATATATTTTTTACTACTGATAGATGTTAGGTCCTAATAGATGTTTATCTTTTAGGTTGAAATCACAAAGATTAGACACCTTTTTAGACAGGTATTCTTCAGCACCACTGACAACACGGTTCTGACAGTATTTCATGACAGTAAGTATGTTTTACCATTTTGGTTGTTAATTACATTTGAATAGTAATTGGCTGGAAATAAAATTATAACTGATTTATACTGGGGGTGCCTGGTAGAATGAATGCGTTTCAAGTCTAGTCAGACAGTACCTCTGCTCATTCCTGTTGCTTCCTTATTTTCAGCTTCTTGCATATATTATTTCCCATGGGTCCCTAAGTGCTGTTGAGGCTACAGGGTAACCTGTCCTGGCTGTAAAGGGGCTGTCTGTTTAGCCAGTTAATTGAATACTTAGGGGACAGTTATGCCCAGAATGGAAAATGCTAACTCTTAAGTGCAGTAGATGTGGGAAGAAGAAAGGCGTGATGGGCCTGGATACTTGGGAATGTCACAGAGGGATCCTGCAGACCTTGAACTGAGCCTTGAAATAGAGGGTGGGAGTGGATTGGCGAAGGGTATCACCAAAAGCAAAAGCCCGGTGGCAGGATGGGCAACTTAAGTTTAGGGGATCGGGAGTAGAGGTGCATGGTCCAGGGTAGATCTCAAAGGATAATGTAGGAAAGAGAAAGCACTTGTCCCCTCTGGATATTTAATTCTGGATGTGCTACTGTATCTCTAACCTGGGGCGGGCGTGTTACAGCTTTGGGCCAGCCATGGTTGCTTCACTCCTAAAATGAAAGAAATGCACTTAGTGATCCCTAAATAAAGCACATTCTAGCACAAAGATTTTTATTAACCATGAAGATAGAGAAAAGTAGGAAACAAGTTTGATTAGGTTAAATGTGCGATCTGCTCACATGAAGTCACGAAAATGAGGTTTGGATTTGACACAGGAGGACTTTAGGAACCTTTGAGAATAGGTTCAAGAGTATAGAAGTGGTGTTGTGGTGAAATTAGCCTTACAACAGTATGTTAAGATGGGCTGGGGTAGTAATCCAGTGGAAACAGGAAAGGGAAAGCATATCTAGGAGACATTTTTAGAGAGGTAATAGAGGAGGTGGAGCTTGAAGGAGATGGAAGAACCCAAGATGATGCTGGTATATTTAGCTGAGCAGCGTGAAAGACTGGTATTCTTCTTAGCAGAATTACGGTAGTGGAAAGGGAAATCTCCCTCCTTGCCCCCTTGCAGGGGATGGGGGAAGGTGAGTTTCATTTCCCAATATCTTAAATTTGCAGTGATGGGATATTAGACATGCTGTACAGGCATGGGTTGCTTGAGTGGCAAGCAGGATATTGGTTGTAGATTTGGAATGTATGAGCATAGAAGTGATACTTAGTGAGTTCATTAAGATAAGGGAAGAAAGAGAAGGAGAACCTTGGGTGATGTTAACAATTAGGGTGGGGAGGAAAGAATATTGCTTTGGAAATCAGAGCAGGAGAGAATTCCAAGCATAAATATATGTGGCCAGCAGTAGCCAGCACTACAAAGAACAGTCAAGTAGGATGAGGACAAGATCACTGGCAGCTTTGAAGAGTGGTTTCATTTTGGGTTGGGGTTAAAAAGTACATGTTCAGGAGTTTAAATAGGAATGAAGAGGTTTCTTAACAACTGTCAGGGCAAGAATGGTAGCTAGGCAAGGGTATGGGGCAGAATTAAGATTTTATATATCTCTGTGTACTTCTGTGTGCTTAATGAGGGAGACTAAGCATGTTTAAGGAAGAGTGAAGGAGCTGGTAAGGAGGATCGAAGATACATTAGAGAAGAGGAATCTTTGTATTATTTCTTATCCTCAGAGAGATAAAATGAATGTAACCCAGAAAACAGATAAAAGGGTAAATTAAGAGAGAGGAATCTCTGCCTGGAAGAATAATGAGAACCGTATTTGAGGGGGCAGTATTAAGATTACATTTGTCGAGTTCTGACTATGTATCTTGCACTTTGCTAAGTACTTTTTAATACAATAGCTTCCTCATAGTAACATCACTTTAAAAATGGGGAAGCTGAAAACACAAAGAGAACTCATAAACGGGGAGCCAAGCTTCAAACCCACTGAATTGCTCCTAAGAGCCAGTGCTCCTCACCGTTGTCCAGGGTGTGCTTATTTACCATCTCACAAACACCATCCTGGTTTGAGAAGCTAATTTCAGTGCTTTCAACGTATAATCAGTAGCCTTAGAATGTAAAGGGGACAAATTAAAGAAATAGGTGTAAGAACTACATGAAACACTAGGCAGGAATGCTATAGAGAGTAGTTGGCATCTGAGGCCCTGGATTTTAGTCCCATTTACTGTGTCATGTCACGCAAATTATTAGCCTTATGTACCTCAGTTTTCTCTCCTGCATCACAGGCTTGTGAACATTGCATGAGGTATTTAGAAAGTGTTCAATAAATGTAAACATTAAAGAGGACAGTATTTGTTTGTGGAACAAATTATTAGCATCGTTTAAGTACGGCTACATCAAAAAAAAGAATAAAGATTTATTAGCCCGCTACTTGTTTATTTCACATCATATTTTCAAAAATAATTCTGTCAATTCAACTAAATAATCAGAATAGTCATTGAAATGAATTTATTGGGATTTAACCACTCTTTGTCCATATTTATCCATTCCCTTGGGTCTAACGATTCATCATTGTCCCCTTGTCATTATCCTACATGCTGTGCTCTTCCAGCCTCATTACCTGGGTGAAATCCAACACTTTCTCTTTTGTATTCTCTATCAGGCCTTTCAAGTGTCACACTGGACATATTGGCACCACTGTAAATTCACAGTCATTAGCTTCAGCTAGGCTCTACGCTGTCCAGCACTCCCCTCCCTTTCCTCTCCCATTCTCTGTGGTGACAGCTGTCTGTCTCTCCAGCTGCAAGAATCCCAGCATTATCCTTGGTCTTCCTGTAGCTCTATCAGTCAGTCACCGAGTCACCTACTAAAAAGCTGTCTAGTTGTTCTGCTTCTCTTGATCTCCAGCGCTCTCGCCTGGACCTGATGCTAAAATGATCATTATCTTGCCTGAAGTCATGCCCTGACTACAGCATTATAGTCCTCACTGGTCTTCTGTGTCTGTTTGTGCTCCCCTCCAGGTCGGTTTCTGTACTGAACTGTAGCCAGAGGGATCTTTTTTTTTTTTTTTTTAAATATGGTTTGTGCTCTTCTGCTTAAAACTCTTCTTTGATTTCCTCTTGTCCACAGGACACTGCTTGATCTAGCCCCTCCTTAGCTCCTTCCAATCCACCAGTACTGTATTTCTTGGTTTTCTCTGCCTGGAACGTTCATTTCACACCTTTCTTTTTGTCTGACTGATTTCTATTCACCTTTCAGTCTCATTTTCAATGTCATATCCTAAGATAGCCTTTCTTGACCCCTCAGACTAGTGAGGTCCCTTTTGGAGTAAACTCACATAGCACATAACAAAACATCTTTGTTTTTCTTCGTACTTGGCACTAGCAATTACTTAATTATTTGTAATTATTTTAATAGCTATATATACCACTTACTGAGTATGCCCATTGTACTATGCTGTCTTTACATGGATTAGCTCCTAACCTGTACAGGAGCCCTGGGAGGTTAAGTCTTGTTCTCATTCAGCTTGCTCAAGGTCTCATGGTAAGGGGCAGGGAATTCAAATTAGGTGATTCGATTCCAGAGCCTGTGTCCTGGAAGGACTAATAGGCTCTGTTCTCTATCCATTCACCCTGCCTCCCAGGTTATGTAACATTTGTCCTGCAAGCTGAGGACAGAGACCTTGTCTGTTGTTGACAGCTACGTGACCAGCACATAGCATGGACCTGGTAAATACTGAGCGCTCACTCAGTAAATATTTGTTGGCTGGCTTACTGAAAATCTACAGTCTGTTTTATAAATTTTTATAGGATGTTTTAGACCTAGAAAAAACCTTTGGGATGCATCTAGCAAGTTTTTTCCCATCATTCTTATATATAGGCAAATGGCTGGCATATTCTAGGCATCAAAGATTAGGCCGATTTATTGAGTGAAAGGTACTAAGTGCCATAGAGCTTTAAAGAACAGAACATTTGTTTTTGAATTGCAGAAAGGATAAATCAGAAAGATTCAAGGAGGATAGAGAACACTGGGATTAAAGTCTGGGGCAGGATTTTAATGGTAGAATGATAGAGGAAAGGAAGACAGAAGGTGTGAAATGATAGAAAGCTAAAACTTGTGGAACCGAAGACACATACAGTTAAGCAGATGATGTGCGGCTTCTCTTCAAAGGAGGGAGGATGAGATCGAATGTCTGTGGGGTACACTACGTGCCAAACACTGTCTTTAGCAGCTTTCTAGTCTTTATTTAATTCTGACAACTCTAGGAAATACTTACATCTTCACTTTTGGAAGACTGAGGTTTAGAGAGGCTAATGCTGTTAGTCCAAATGATAATCTTGTTGCTAATTCCAGTGCATGACAAGATAATATGATTTAAACTTTTTCCCTTTAATACCTTTGTTTGTGTTATATTTCTAAAGTAATTCATCTCCCAGATCCGCTTGGTTATTTGTACAGTGTCTTGCTCATAGCCAATTTTAAAAGATTTACGGTATCATGTAAACACTCATTCAGGAAAGAATTTCTGTTATTCTTCCCAACCCACTGCCTGCCCTCCCCACCCCAATCAAAGTTTTGTTTCCAATTGTAGGTTCTGAAACAACCACTTTGGTCCTGTCTCCTGCACCTTGATCTTCCTTAGGTCATTGTAAAAGCTAGTCAACTCACAGCTATTATAATTGACCATTCTTTTATGGCTATAAAAAAAATCCATCATCATGTCTATTAAAGGATACTCTCCTAGTATGTTAGCATTTTAGAATCAAAATAGCATTTGATTTTCAGGCAATGTTTCACATTCATTTGTGTTAGTTTAAGATGGGGAGGGTGGTATTGTTATTTACATTTTATATGGAAATACATTTAATTGGCAGGGATGTTTATTTTCATGGGATCGGTAGGAGAGTCAGAATCAGGTCACTGACTTTGTTTTTTACTTCTTAGAGGCTACTAAAAAGTATCAAATAGGTACCCTATGTTCACAGATTATTAAAGGTCTGTGAATTCTATTTTCTACCCCCTTACAACAACTATATAAATTACAGAAATGTGTCTCTATCTACAGTTATATTAGGCATCACAGTCAACAGATGTATGAAAGAAATGCCATGTTATTGAAGACCTGAAAACTAGCCCAGTATTTTAATATTAAATAAAAATCCAACAGAGATGGAGAAGACATGTGTTATACAAGGACTGAAATTTTACAGTTAATAACATGAAGTTTATACTGGGTCCTGGGCCTTAATGAACGGTCAAATTTCTCTTTTTTGTTCAGCCTGAAAGTGTATATGAATTACACTTGATTTTTGCTATACTTTTTATTCAGATAATGCATTTAAATTTTTTTCTCTCACGGATATCTTATTTTGAGTAGTAGTATTTGCAAAATAGAAAGCCTTCTAGGATCTGCCACGTTGGTGAAATTGAATGGAGCCAGTTCAGGGCTTATGATTTACTTTTTTCCAGACTTTCCCTCTTGGCATTCTTTTAGCTCTCAGCAAAATTAATTAAGCAGGCTTTTTTTTTTTTTTTTTAATAGGAATTTTAACTCTTATTCTTGTCTGTGCAGGTAATTTTCCTGTCTTTATACATAGATCTTCCTGACCCCTCCTTTTTTTTGAGACAGGGTCTCACTCTGCCACTGAGGCTGGAGTGCAGTGGCGTGATCACGGCTGACTGCAGCCTCAACCTTCTAGGCTCAAGTGATCTTCTCACCTCAACCTTTCAAGTAGCTAGGACTACAAGCACATGCCACAACACCTGGCTAATTTTTTAATTTTTATTTTTTTAGAGACAGGGTCTCACTGTGTTGCCCAGGCTAATCTTGAACTTGTGGGCCCCAGTGATCCTCCCACCTCAGCTTCCCAAAGTGCTGGGATTACAGGCATGAGCCACACCTGACCCTGACTTGGCATGGGGAGAGAAAATTAACCTTTGACTAGAATCAAGAGTTTATGGGCTCATTCAAAACATGGGTGTACTTTTGGCTTGCCTAGGTACAGAATTATGCAGGGAATCCACATGCTGCTTATACCAAGTAACAGTTTGAATGGAGATATTGTCTATTTTGGAACTTCTATGAGAAAGCAAAGAAAGTTTGCAGCAGGAGCAAAAGGAAAATCAGGGTTTAGCAGGAGAGCTGGAAGTGATGGATACAGGTAGATTCCAGTTGATGACTTAAGCTGATTTTTTTTTTTTTTAAGAGACAGGCTCTCACTACATTGACCAGGCTGGTCTGGAACTCTTGAGCTCAAGCAGTCCTCCTGCCTCAGCTCCTGAGTAGCTGGGGCTACAGGCGCGTGACACTGTGTCCAGCTTTATTAAGCTGATCATCATTCCAGGGATAAATTAGGTTGTAAGTCAGGGTTGCCTGTGGTACTATATTTGAAGATTATGCACTTGAAAAGAAAGAGGCATATGGTTTAGATTCATTTCCTTGTCGTTATTGGCCTTCTGCTTATCACTTAGGGAAGATAGATAGGAAAATCTTGAATCCTGGACAAATTGTGGGAAGGTTTCCAAATCAAGAAATATAGGCTGGTTGTGGTGACTGATGCCTGTAATCTCAGCATTTTGGGAGGCTGAGGTAGGCGAATTGCTTGAACCCAGGAGTTCCCGACCAGCCTGGGCAACATAGCGAAACCCCGTCTCTACTAAAACTACAAAAAAATTGGCTAGGCGTGGTGGTGCATGCCTGTAGTACAACTACTCTGGAGGCTGAGGTGGGAGGATTGCTTCAGCCTGGGAGGTTGAGGCTGCAGTGAGCTGTGATCATGCCACTGCACTCCAGCCTGGGCGACAGAGTAAGACCCCGTCTCAAAAAAATAATTATATTTTTTAAAACAGAAATACAAATTCTCTTTTAGTAAGCTTAAGGCTATGAAAAGTATAATTGACCCATCATCCTGTGACAGTTTATAAGTGCTGAATCTATTACGTTTGTTAGTACTTTGAAAAGTATTGAAAACCTGTTTTTCTCCTCATAGATGGATGGTGACAGTTCTACAACAGATGCTTCTCAACTAGGAATCTCTGCAGACTATATTGGAGGAAGTCATTATGTTATACAGCCTCATGATGGTAAGCAAGCCACAGTTAGAACCAAATTCACAAGATGAAGCAAGTTAGAAAGTGGACATTTAATTAATACGGTGTTTTAGGTTACTTTTGTCTTTATAGGAAAATTTACAGTCTTGTGTTACAGTTCAATGATAAAGTCTAAAAAGGCATACCATGCTATTTCTATTAGAAATAGTCTTCAAAAGAATGAGTCCTTGAAAACATTTTTACTATAAAAATACACCTTGTCTAAAACCTGTACAGTTTCTTTTGAAATTTGTTACCGACTTCCTGTTTAAATGTTAAATAAGAGAAATTTATAATCAATTGATAGGGTAACTAAAATAATTATTTAGAGGGTAAGTTAAATTTCTAGCTATTGTATTTCTTGCACTTTTGATTTATTTTTGGTTTTCATTCAGTATTAACTTTGAACTATGTCAGGTATTGGAATGGTAGTGTTGACTCGGTGTGGTGCTCATGCCTATAATCCCAGCAGTTTGGGACAGCAAGGTGGGCAGATCACTTGAGCTCAGGAGTTCGAGACTAGCCTGGGCAACATGGTGAAACCCCACCTCTACAAAAAAATTAAAAAATTAGCTGGGCTTGGTGGCATGTACCTGTGGTCCCAGCTACTTAGGGGGCTGGGGGCTGAAGTGGGAGAATCACTTGAACCTGGGAGGTAGAAGCTTCAGTGAGCCGTGTTTGCACCACTGCACACTCCAGCCTTGGTGACAAAGTGAGACTCTGTCTCAAAAAAACAAAACCAAAAAAAACCCCAAAACGACAGTGTTATGTTGGCCTATCAGAAATAATTTACTTTTGTGGCATTTTGATTTGTAAGAAAAAAATTTTTTTTTGAGATGGAGTTTTGCTCTGACGCCCAGGCTAAAGTGCAGTGGTGCAGTCTTGGCTCACTGCAACCTCCACCTCCTGGGTTCAAGTGATTCTCCTGCCTCAGCCTGCCCATTAGCTGAGATTACAGGCGCTCACCACTATGCCCAGCTAATTTTTTTTATTTTTAGTAGAGACAGGGTTTTGCTATGTTGGTCAGGCTGGTCTCGAACTCATGACCTCAGGTGATCCATCTGCTTCAGTCTCCCAAAGTGCTGGGATTATAGTCATGAGCCACCACGCCTGACCTGATTTGTAAAATTTTTAACAATTGAGATATATTTTTAGAAGAAACTTGCCAGAGGGATTAATTTCATCCTGAAACAGATATTCAAATAAATTAATTCTGATAACATCATTTTAAACACACAAAAACGTAAATTGAATCAACTTAGGTGCCTTGCCTACTTACTTAGTACATATGAAGAGTGGGCAGTTTACTTACAGGATACTGCATTTAGTCATAAAAGGATGTTATTGGTACTGCGCAAGCTTCAGTTACAGCTAAATTTATATAATTCACAAAGTCACTTGCATGAACAGTTGGATCACTGCTATAGCTTTGTTCAAAAACTAGTTACATTAGTAATCCAACTGGATCAGTAATATTCAAGTCCAATTTTTCTATTCTTTATAGAATTTTATATAAACTTTATATAGATAAGACAACTTTATATCAACTTTAAAAAAGTTTTAGACAGGGATGCCCTCTCTCACCACTCCTATTCAACATAGTGTTGGAAGTTCTGGCTAGGGCAATCAGGCAAGAGAAAGAAATCAAGGGGATTCAGTTAGGAAAAGAAGAAGTCAAATTGTCCCTGTTTGCAGACGACATGATTGTATATTTAGAAAACCCCATTGTCTCAGCCCAAAATCTCCTTAAGCTGATAAGCAACTTCAGCAAAGTCTCAGGATACAAAATTAATGTGCAAAAATCACAAGCATTCTTATACACCAGTGACAGTCAAACAGAGAGCCAAATCAGGAATGAACTTCCATTCACAATTGCTTCAAAGAGAATAAAATACCTAGGAATCCAACTTACAAGGGATGTAAAGGACCTCTTCAAGGAGAACTACAAACCACTGCTCAGTGAAATCAAAGAGGACACAAACAAATGGAAGAACATACCATGCTCATGGATAGGAAGAATCAATATCGTGAAAATGGCCATACTGCCCAAGGTAATTTATAGATTCAATGCCATCCCCATCAAGCTACCAATGAGCTTCTTCACAGAATTGGAAAAAACTGCTTTAAAGTTCATATGGAACCAAAAAAGAGCCCGCATCTCCAAGAAAATCCTAAGTCAAAAGAACAAAGCTGGAGGCATCACGCTACCTGACTTCAAACTATACTACAAGGCTACAGTAACCAAAACAGCATGGTACTGGTACCAAAACAGAGATATAGACCAATGGAACAGAACAGAGTCCTCAGAAATAATACCACACATCTACAGCCATCTGATCTTTGACAAACCTGAGAGAAACAAGAAATGGGGAAAGGATTCCCTATTTAATAAATGGTGCTGGGAAAATTGGCTCGCCATAAGTAGAAAGCTGAAACTGGATCCTTTCCTTACTCCTTATACGAAAATTAATTCAAGATGGATTAGAGACTTAAATGTTAGACCTAATACCATAAAAATCCTAGAGGAAAACCTAGGTAGTACCATTCAGGACATAGGCATGGGCAAAGACTTCATGTCTAAAACACCAAAAGCAACGGCAGCAAAAGCCAAAATTGACAAATGGGATCTCATTAAACTAAAGAGCTTCTGCACAGCAAAAGAAACTACCATCAGAGTGAACAGGCAACCTACAGAATGGGAGAACATTTTTGCAATCTACTCATCTGACAAAGGGCTAATATCCAGAACCTACAAAGAACTCCAACAAATTTACAAGAAAAAAACAAACAACCCCATCAAAAAGTGGGCAAAGGATATGAACAGACATTTCTCAAAAGAAGACATTCATACAGCCAACAGACACATGAAAAAATGCTCATCATCACTGGCCATCAGAGAAATGCAAATCAAAACCACAATGAGATACCATCTCACACCAGTTAGAATGGCGATCATTCAAAAGTCAGGAAACAACAGGTGCTGGAGAGGATGTGGAGAAATAGGAACACTTTTACACTGTTGGTGGGATTGTAAACTAGTTCAACCATTATGGAAAACAGTATGGCGATTCCTCAAGGATCTAGAACTAGATGTACCATATGACCCAGCCATCCCATTACTAGGTATATACCCAAAGGATTATAAATTATGCTGCTATAAAGACACATGCACACGTATGTTTATTGCAGCACTATTCACAATAGCAAAGACTTGGAATCAACCCAAATGTCCATCAGTGACAGATTGGATTAAGAGAATGTGGCACATATACACCATGGAATACTATGCAGCCATAAAAAAGGATGAGTTTGTGTCCTTTGGAGGGACATGGATGCAGCTGGAAACCATCATTCTCAGCAAACTATCACAAGAACAGAAAACCAAACACCGCATGTTCTCACTCATAGGTGGGAACTGAACAATGAGATCACTTGGACTCGGGAAGGGGAACATCACACACCGGGGCCTATCCTGGGGAGGGGGGAGGGGGGAGGGATTGCATTGGGAGTTATACCTTATGTAAATGACGGGTTGATGGGTGCAGCACACCAACATGGCACAAGTATACATATGTAGCAAACCTGCACATTGTGCACATGTACCCTACAACTTGAAGTTTAATAATAATAAATTAAAAAAAAAAAAAAAAGTTTTATATAGACTTTTACATAAATGAGTTTATATAAACTTGGGTTTGGAGAAACATACAACCTCTTAATTTAGTAATATTGAAATAGCCATAGGTTACAGTCTGTAAGTTTTATAGCTAAGTCATGCAATAAATATTTATGAGTACCTACTCTGTGGAAGGTGCTATACCAAGCTGTAGGAAACACAAAGCTGATTCATGACATCAAGTAGCAAAAATCTAATAGGAGAAATGAGGAATAATAAAAATTCTAAAACTGTGTAAGAGAAAAGGCATAGAGAAACACTTATATTTTATGAAAAGATCATTTTTGAAGGTGCTATGGAGATGTTATTTGAGATTTTTGGAGAATGGGCAAATAGGATTTTAGCGGATATATTAGAGGATAAAAAGCATTCTAGGCAGTGAATCTGAAATTAATAAAAAAAGTTCAGTTCTGGCTCTGTAAAAATTATGAAGAGACTTGCTATCCTAATCCCTAAATAAGGGTTAAGAGATGAACCAGAATGATTTTATTCTGTGGATCTTTTTGGTAGTTTTTTCTATCTTGAAATAGAAATAATAAGAAGCTTTAAACCTAAATATTTTTATTTCTTTAGATACTGAGGACAGCATGAATGATCATGAGGACACAAATGGTTCAAAAGAAAGTTTCAGAGAACAAGATATATATCTTCCAATAGCAAATGTGGCTAGGATAATGAAAAATGCCATACCTCAAACGGGAAAGGTAATGTAAAGGAGAAATTTAACTAGGTTTTTACAAGGGAAACACGAAACTACATAAATTCATAGGTCATGGGCACAGTTAGCTGTTGATTTCAATCATTCAGGCTTTCGGCAAATCAAATATTTCTTTCATGTTTACATACACAGTTACTGAATGGTGTCCCATTTTCAATTCTGTCATGTCCCTAAATGTTCTCCCCTCTCCCACTTATTGGAGGCAGATAAAATAGAATTTAGACTTTTTTTTTTTTTTTTTAAAGACAGAGTTTCACTCTTGTTGCTCAGGCTGAAGTGCAGTGGTACAATCTCGGCTCACTGCAACCTTTGCCTCCCAGGTTCAAGCAATTCCCTTGCCTCACCCTCCCGAGTAGCTGTTACAGGCATGCACCACCATGCCCAGCTAATTTTGTATTTTTACTAGAAATGGGGTTTTTCCATGTTGGTCAGGCTAGTCTTGAACTCTTGACCTCAGGTGATCCGCCTGCCTCGGCCTTCCAAAGTGCTGGGATTATAGACATGAGCCACCGTGCCTGGCCCGACTGTTTTAAAAAATAGGTACGTTGTCAGAACTGTCAGGTTTGGGTGTATGAAGCTGTAACCTCTTTTTTTTTTTTGAGACGGAGTTTCACTCTTGTTGCCCAGGCTGGAGTGCAATGGCGCAATCTCGGCTCATCGCAACCTCTGCCTCCCAGGTTCAAGCGATTCTCCTGCCTCAGCCTCCCCTAGTAGCTGGGATTACAGGCATGTGCCACCATGCTTGGCTAATTTTGTATTTTTAGTAGAGACGGGGTTTCTCCATGTTGGTCAGGCTGGTCTCGAACTCCTGACCTCAGGTGATCCACACACCTCAGCCTCCCAAAGTGCTGGGATTACAGGCGTGAACCGCTGTACCCAGCCTGAAGCTGTAACTTGCATAATGTTGCAGCAAATTTAGGTCGTATTGGTCTGATATAGGTGTAATAAGAATTTTCCAAAACAAATTCTGGTATTTGGAAACAACTATTTTTACGTAATTATAGATACTAAGATACATTTAAACTGATACTTTTTTTTTTTTAAGTAGTTTGTCTTCTTAGAACTTTTAAAAACTCATTGTCACTGCTCATCACTTGGTCTGAATTAAAATTCACATGTTTTATATCATTTTCTATTGGTAATTTTTCTGTCATTTTATAGTTTAAAAAGACTTATGGAAGTAATAAAGCTTGCAAATAAATATACTATTAAAATACATCACTAAGCCTAGAACTTTCAGTTTGAGAATTTTGTCCTTATGTTTCAAGGGAAAAAAAGCACAAATGCTGATTATTGCTTACATAGGCTATGGCTGCCACTGGTCAGTACCGTAGCCACAAGCCATGTGCTCAGAAGTACCTGAAATGTGGCTGGTCTGAAGGGAGATGTGCTGCAAATTTGAAACACCAGATTTTGAAGACTTAGTATGAAGAAAAGAATTAAAATTTCTCATTTAAAAATTGATTCTATGTTTAAATGGTAATAATTTTGATATATTGGGTTAAATATATTAAAATTAATTTTACTTTTTTTTTGATATGGCTACTAGAGAATCTAAACTTACATATGTGGCTCACATTATATCATCTTGCTTGACTGCATTTGTGCAGTTCTTGCTTACTTTCTCCAGTATGTAAAATAGGCATGGCAGTGAAAGACTGTGTTTCAGCAGGGATTTTGAGTGGTATTGCTGTTACAGGTGGTTTTGCAGTTGCTTGATTAATCCTTTGGAGTTTCATTTTTAGACCCCCAGACCCTTAAGGGAAAAATTGTTTTTATAATGAAGTGGCAGATGTGTGCTGCTTTAGGCAGGCTTTTTAGTAAACTCAAAACCTGTATCTGACACTGTGTATCCCAAATAATAAAAAAGTCAGTCACCATATATTATTATTTCTCTCTTTTCCAAGCTTTTTGTGAATTGACTTCTCTGCTAGGGCAGAGAAGTGGTACCTAAGTCACCCACAAAATATGCATGGTGGAATTGGTTTTCCAGGGGTACTGGGTTAGTAAGAGTTTTCATCCTCTGTGGGGTGGTAGGAACATCCAGTGATTGCTGTTTTATATCTTTTTAAATATTTTAAAATTTTTTTTTGAGACGGAGTCTCACTCTTTTTGCCTAGGCTGGAGTGCAGTGGCTTAATCTCAGCTCACTGCAACCTCTGCCTCCTGGGTTCAAGCAATTCTCCTGCCTCAGCCTCCTGAGTAACAGCAATTACAGGCACCCGCCACCATGCTCAGGTAATTTTTTAGTAGAGATGGGGTTTCGCCATGTTGGCCAGGTTGATCTCGAACTCCTGACCTCAGGTGATCCGCCCACCTCAGCCTCCCAAAGTGCTGGGATTACAGGCATGAGTCACCGTGCCTGGTGCTCTTTTATATCTAAATTAGACTTGTTTTCTGTAAATAGTTGTCAAGGCTTCTTTCAGTTGTATTTTAGTTTTTATTGTGACTCAGGTGTGGACTTTTGATAGCACACATTGTGTTAATGTTACAACATATATTTACGAGATTAAATAGTCATCAGGTGAAGATGTGTTCTTCTGAATAGGCTTTTATTTTTGTAGGTTGTTAGGAAGGTGATGGTTATAGTTTCTGTAATTTACCTATGATTTTCTCTTCAGATTGCAAAAGATGCCAAAGAATGTGTTCAAGAGTGTGTGAGTGAGTTCATCAGCTTTATAACATCTGAGGCAAGCGAAAGGTGCCATCAAGAGAAACGGAAAACAATCAATGGAGAAGATATTCTCTTTGCTATGTCTACCTTAGGCTTTGACAGTTACGTGGAACCTCTGAAATTATACCTTCAGAAATTCAGAGAGGTAAATAAAATGTCTCCCATTGTGCTTTTTTATTTCCTCCTTCTTTTTTTATTTTTTTGAGATGGAGTATCGCTCTGTTGTCCAGGCTGGAGTGCAGTGGCAAGATCTCGGCTCATTGCAACCTCTGCCTCCTGGGTTCAAGCAACTCTCCTGCCTCAGCCTCCCGAGTAGCTGGGACTACAGGCATGTGCCACCATGCCCGGCTAAGTTTTGTATTTTTAGTAGAGACGGGGTTTCACCATGTTGGCCGGGCTGGTCTCAAACTCCTGACCTCAGGTAATCTACCTGCCTAGGCCTCCCAAAGTACTGGGATTACAGGTGTGAGCCACCATTCCCGGCCCCCTTTGTGCTTTTAAGAAAATAAGAGATGTTATTTACTTCAACTTTTTAAATGTATTATTTGTTTAAAAAATTCATTTTGTAGTAAATTATGTAACATTTCTCAGAATTATTTAATTGCTTATATCAGCAGTCCCCAACCTTTTTGGCACCAGGGACCTGTTTTGCGGAGAGCAATTTTTCCATGGACTGGGGTCAGGGGAGGGGTGCGAGGGGCAGATGGCTTCAGGATGAAACTGTTCCACCTCAGATTATCAGGCATTAGTTAGAGTCTCATAAGGAATGCATAGCCTAGATCCCTTGCATGCACAGTTCACAATAGGGTTCGAGCACCTATGAGAATCTAACATGGCCACTGATCTGACCGGAGGCGGAGCTTGGGTGGTAATGCTGGATTACCAGACCCTCACCTCCTGCTGTGTGGCCGGGTTCTTAACAGGCCACGGACCCTCATCAGTCTGCAGCCTGGGGTTTGGGGATCACTGACTTATATTACAGTACTTAAATAGTAATTCCTTTCTTTTTCCCTTTGTTTATTACTAACTATAGCATAGTTATATAATGATTTAAAGCACAGACTTTGGATTCAGACTACCAGGAGGCTGAAGCCCAGCTCTGCCACATGCAAATTCTGTGGCCTTGGACAGATTATTTAATTACTTTAGGCCTTGGTTTCCTCTTCTGTAAAATGAGGCTAATGAGTACCTATATCATAGAATTATTGATGGGACTAAATAAATAATGTTCAGTGCTCATTAATGTTACTTCTTGCTGCTATTGTTAATTTAAAAGAAGTAGCATTAAAAGTAGTAAGGTTGGAGTCTTATAGATAATAAAAAGAGGAAGGTATAATCATGTCTTTCTTATTATTGATTGAATGCATCTATTCTTAGGTTTATCTTTGCTTGTAGGAATGGATTTTGGGAAAAGGAGTTGAGTTTAGCATATTTATTTCCACATGCCAACTTAGGTGTCAGATTCACATTACTTTCAAAATATATTCTTAATATCTTTAGTGTTTGAATCCCATTAAATTAGTGATATTTGCATGGAATGATTGAAGTAGGAAAAGAATGTGTAAATTCCTGACAGTATTTTTACAAATCTTCAGTATCATAGGAACCTAGAGGTATTTGGCCAAACTAATTTAGGAATTTTTAACTCTCAACTTGCTGCAGTACTGCCCAGTTGACTGAGAGGCATATATATACTTAAGTGATCACTTGGATCATTTGTAGATTTATAAGCTCAATATTGGTGGTATTTTGCAGATTTCTTCATCTGTAAGTAGAGTTCTCTTACCCCTTTGATATGGTGTGGAATTAGAATAATTTATTTTTATCTGTACTTTGTTTTCTAGGTCATTACTCTGTCTTGTTAATGATTACAGCTTATATTAGAAGTTAGCCTTTTGAAAGCATTCTTCATATGTAATTAACCAGAAGTGTTAATAAATACTCTGCTTAGAGTTTGTAATAATAGAAGCTCCTAATTTTAGGCAATAAGTAAGCATTCGTGTTTGGAAGACAATTTCATTTGAATATCAGTGACTTTTTTTTCCTTCCTCAGGCTATGAAAGGAGAAAAGGGAATTGGTGGAGCAGTCACAGCTACAGATGGACTAAGTGAAGAGCTTACAGAGGAGGCATTTAGTAAGCATTCTTATAATACAAGTCATGTAGATTGTTAGCAGTGATTCATACTAAGTGTCTAATGGTATTTTTGGAATGTCAGCACTGAGTATTTTGACAAAGCACTATTTTAAATAGTTCTTATCAGTTCATGCCCTTTTATTTGAAGTCAGTGAGTGATAAGTGTAGAAAAGTTTAATTCTGTAGACATTATAACCTTTCATTGATAGTTCTGACTGAGTTCCGTAGCCCCTAGTTTTTGGTGAAGATTCATATGAGATAGGAATATTAAGGAATTGTAGTTTGTAATATAAAATCTTACGATTTAAATAAATTTCAACTCAGGTTTTTTTTTTTTTTTTTTTAATTGAGTATCATGTTGTCATATTGGTGAAATAAAAGGGCTATGGTGAGTCAATTTCTCATTAGATATATTTCTCATATGTAAACTATATGCTGCTCAGTTATATGTTGCTCTCAGCCAAACATCGTGGTGTAGTGTAGTTTAATCATGAATCAGAAACTTCATCTAGTCTGTCTACAGTGGGCAGTTAGCTAAGGTACATGTTAGAGATAGGAAAATTGAAAAATACAATATAAAATAATGTGGTTTTTAGGGAACATTTTTTAAAATGGAAAATTGGAGGATTTATTATTTTGTCCAAGACTACATCATTGATATGGGGCAGAATTATAATGAGACATTAATGGTACAACCTTAAGATTCAGCCCAAGAAAGTGGATACAGTTCTTTTCCCTCTTTAACTAATTTTTTTTCTTTCAGCTAACCAGTTACCAGCTGGCTTAATAACCACAGACGGTCAACAACAAAATGTTATGGTTTACACAACATCATATCAACAGGTACAGTCCTTTATATTTTAAACGCTTAAAAAATTTGCTTGTATTGGCAGGGCCCTGTGGCTCACACCTGTAATCCCAGTACCTTGGGAGGCTGAGGCGGGTGGCTCACCTGAGGTCAGGAGTTCGAGACCAGCCTGGCCAACATGGTGAAACTCTGTCTCTACTAAAAATACAAAAATTAGCCGGGTGTTGTGGCGGGTACCTGTAATTCCCGCTACTCGGAGGCTGAAGCGGGAGAATTGCTTGAACCCCGGAGGTAGAGGTTGCAGTGAGCTGAAATCACACTACTGCACTCCAGCCTGGGCAATAGAGTGAGACTCTGTCTCAAAAAAAAAAAAAAATTTTTTTTTTAAATTATACCTATTGATATAGTTAATTTCAACACATTATGAAGGACCTGATAAAGAAGGTTATTAAAATTGTGTTTTCTCAATATAGATAACTGTATATAGTGTTCTCTTAATAGTTAAAAATAAGCATATGTTCATATTTCCATAGGAGATTTCTAGAAAGATACACAAGAAATGGGAAGGAGACTTACTTGTTACTGTCTTTTTATTCACTGAATTTTTGTAATATGGATATTGTACTTTTAATCTCCTTTTCTTTAATTCTGTCCAATTTAAATTTTCTAATCTTAGATTTCTGGTGTTCAACAAATTCAGTTTTCATGATCTGAAGAAATGATGGACTGGGGAGTGTAGAGAAACGAGAGTCTGTGTGATTCTGGAACAGAGACATCAGAAGGAAAGACTGGTGAAAAGATGTATCTTTGTATATTAATAGCTGTAATGTAGCTTCCTGATGCTTGACTAATTGAGGTGTTAATTCTGACTTGAGAATCTTTTTCATGAATGATTTTAAAGAAAAATTTGGATTTTAAAGGTATTAAAATATTTTTGTTTTGTACGAGAGTTTGTTGCTCTGTATGACTCCTGTATGCATTGTATATTGCAATTTATTACTGTCAGAGATTTGTAGACAGTTTCTTATTTTCATATTGAATCATGTTACTTTTGTAATTCAAGTAAGCAGCTGGGTTAATTCATGATGTTTGCCCTTTTAATAAAATATAAGGGTAGAGTTCATTTTGAATGCAAGTTGCCTTTATTACAAATTTGAGTTTGTCTTGGTTATACCTTGCATGATAACCTAGCTAGATTTCTAGCATTTGCTGTATTTATTAAAATTATTTTTTTTTGGTAAAACATTAATAGTTTAAGCAGCATCATTTTTTTGAAAAATGTAATTGAATAAGTGTGAATGCAGAAGCATATATTGTCTGCCCTGTTAAACTTGGTGCCCGTTAACAGTGTTTACACTGTTCATCGTGCCTGTTAATGTAGTTTTAGTTATTGGAGCTTTTTTAAGACTAGATTTGGTTTTGAGTTACATTTTTAAGAATGTTGGAATACATTTAAGTTTAATGTAGTCCTAGTGCTCTTGAAATGGTGCCCCTTTCATTTGGTACATGATTTTGTTTCAAATCATATCTTCAAGTACTATAGTATCCTCTTACAGAAGAGGAATTTTATAGTCTGATGGTAAATGTCTTCATTTTACCTTTTTAATTGAAATGTCAAGTTTCCTGTTATACTATGGAAACCAAGAAACATCAGACATCATTGCGTGTATAGACCTTTTGCATGGGTGAGTGAATGAAATGGAGAACAGAGTGAGTGCTGTGAACGGTGTGAAGCAGAAGCTGCCAACTTCTAGTGTGTTGTCTTCATCTTTGCAATAAACTAAACTTAGATAATGTAACTTTGTATAATTTAGTAGTATGTACTCGGATTGTTTCTTTTTGAAAAGTGAGGATTTGTATTTTCTCATCTTTTTGGTGTTAATTAACTTGAGGGTTTTTTTTTTTTTAATATCAAAAATTGCTATTGTATAGTTTGCCTAAAAGGAAGTTGGAGTGAATATCATCTTTGAAGGACACTCAGATTTATAAGGTCGAAGCAATTTCCCAGATATAGGCTGAATAGAAACATTTACTTTGCCAGAAGGACCATTAGGAGTATATTTGGGCTAATCAGAGGTTAATAATGCCCTCATCTCCTCTATCCATTTAAAAAGCAATCTTCATTATAGTAAATTCAAATAGGAAAAAATGGGGGAGTAGTTAAGCAAAATCAACAATCATCCTACTATGTTGAAAGAACCAATGTTAATATTTTGATAAATATCATTTGTCCGTTTACTTTGCTAAATATGTATATTTTTATAAAAATGGGCTCATATTGTGCATACCGTTTTGTAACCTGCTTTTTTCACTTAACAATATATTGGGAACATCTTTTTCAGGTCATGCATAGTCTTCTGCATCATTTTTATTGGTTTATTATTCTGTTGTATGACTCAATCATAATTTATTTAATCTTCTATTGGATATTTTGACTATTTACATCTTTTCACAGTTATAAACAGCACTTCACTGAATCTCATGTACATCTATGACTGTTTTCTTAAATTCTTAGAATTGCTGGGTTACCAAATATGTAAACTTTTAAGGCTTTTGATACTTCGTTATGAGTGTGTTTTTGAGATATTTTCCACTTGATCCAAGCAGTATGTCACTATATAACTGGTAAAAGCACTTGGTCTTTGATTAACAGATACTGTCTCTAAAATTAGTTTACAGATTAATACATGTTCAAGTAGACAATGAAGATAAAAAAGGAATTTGAGGCCAGGCACGGGGTGGCTCATGCCTATAATCCCAGCACTTTGGGAGGCTGAGGCAGGTAGATCACTTTCAGGTCAGGAGTTTGAGACCAGCCTGGCCAACATGGAGAACCCCCTGTCGCTACAAAAAATACAAAAATTAGCAGGTTGTGGTGGTGCACACCTGTAGTCCCAGCTACTCTGGTGGCTGGGGCATTATCCCTTGAACCTGGGAGGTGGAGTCTGAAGTGAGCCGAGATTGTGCCACTGTACTCCAGCCTGGGTGATACAGCGAGACTCTTGTCTCAAAAAAAAGAACCAGGAATTTGAGTAAATTTTAAATTAGTATATACTACAACAAATTTCCAAACTTCGTAATTTGCTAGTACTGCTAACTAAAACTTTACACCAGGTAAAATCAGGTCACCTTTGTTTGTATTGACTTCATTGTTGTTGGACTTCATACTCTGATGGGAAAGAAAATGGACATTCTGAATGTGTCAGGTGTATAATATCCTAATTTATGCTTGTCAGAGCTGGGGTCTGTGTCTTCCTTGGCCCATGTTGCATTTAACTGAATGTCATGTTTTCTTCTCTGAAACTTATGTATGCAAGCTCCCATGTTAACCTATTATAAAAATGTTTTTTATAATTTTGTAAACATTGCTTTCTTGAGTATCTAAGAGAGAAATGAGTTTCTGTGAGTGAGTTCCAGGTAGAAGAAAGGGACTTAGGTAGTTCCTGTCTTAGGTAGCTTCTATTTATCCATCCTCATTACCTCACTCTAATAGAGATGCTTTAAAATCGAGGCCAGTGAGGATTGTTTTTTAAATGCTGCCTTCCTAATGTCACATACTTTGGCATGACAGTGTTTGAAGCTATTTGTATTTTTTCCCCTCCTACACTGTATTACGTGTGCAGTGTTTTCCTTTCTTCAAAAACATGCCTTATTGCCTGTTTTCTGGGTTGCCTTAGTGAGTTAAAGGAATACCAATTAACTTTAATAATTCTAATTGAATATAGTAATGAAGGCCTAATTAACAGGACTTCTACAGCAGTAGAAATTAGGCATGAAAAGTGGAAAGAATAGTTTCTCCCATTTGCTAAGAATGAAATCTTGCAATGCAAGATTTTTAAAAAATATTTTCTCTTAAGGAAAATTGTTATCAACAATCTAAACAAGATGATGTTTGTTGCTTTATATGATAAAATACACTTTAAATCATTCAAATAAGTGATAATTAGGCAGCTTCTTAGAGGGCTTTAAAAGAAAAGTGATACTGGGTAAAATCTATTTTACTAGTCTATTTTAAATGTACTTTTTGGTCTCCCTGAATTAGCTGATAAATTAATTTACATAAGTTAATAATTTGTATTTATTGACCTTAAACTCTATATGCTTGTGAGTAAAAAATGGAACACTAACTTTGTTTTTTAAGGAACTATACTACACTGCCTGAAAAATATTCAGTTTTAATTTATGTTTTCTTTTAGAGCTAGAAATGTTACTTTACCAAGTTTAGCTCTATCTTGATTGGGAAGCTCCAGTCACCCCTTATCTCGTCTTGGCTCCTTATGCCAAGTTCTTTGCCTCCCCCATCCACCTGCCATGACCTTAAACACATACTCTTCCCTCTGCCTAGCTAAGTCCCACTCATTCTTCAGGTCTTAACTTCATCAGAAAAGGTCCTCAAACATTTGTAAACCCTTTGTACTGATCACCAGATATAGAAAACAGCACCACCCAAAACTGAGGAGATGTGTAATACAGCCTTTTATACTGGCTGCTGTACTGCCCCTTAGAAACTTGTTTCAAGATGGCTGCTTTTTGTACCTGATTTTAAGGATTTGCGAAACCATAAGGCATAATCTCTTCATATCTTGGGCCACAGATGGCACTGGCATGGATTCATTTCTCTGGCTTCTGGCCATTGCCTTTAAAGAGAGGCAATTGCCTAATAGTAAAGTTACAGTTTTCCCTGATCTTACTCCAGAGACTGTTTCTTTTTCCACTGCATATTAAAGGGATACCTGTGCAAGGCAATGTATTGTAAGAACTCCTTTGCCAAAATTAATTTGAGCAAGTGTGTCAGGTAACAGTAAAGTCATTAAAATATGTGCTTTGCCAAAATTAATTTGAGCAAGTGTGTCAGGTAAGAATAAAGTCATTAAAATATGTGCTGGCACTTTTTTTTTTTGAGACGGAGTCTCACTTTGTTGCCCAGGTTGGAGTGCAGTGGTGTGATCTCAGCTCACCGCAACCTCCGCCTCTGGGGTTCAAGCAATTCTCCTGCCTCAGCCTCCCGAGTAGCTGGGACTACAGGCGCATGCTGCTAAGCCCGGCTAATTTTTTGTATTTTAGTAGAGATAGGGTTTCACTGTATTGCCCAGGCTGGTCGCCAGCTCCTGAGCTCAGGCAATCCGCCCACCTTGACCTCCCTAAGTGCCGAGATTACAGGTGTGAGCCACTGCGCCCAGCCACTGGCACTGTCTCAAAGGCCATGTACTAGTTTTAGGGGAGCAAGTTACGTTAATAGGTAATTCTTTTTTCTTCCACAAAAATATACTGAGATTATAAAATTCTGATCCATGGCATAAAATTTTGCCTCTTTAAGGTATAATTTAGATCTTCCTTGATTGTCCTCTAAAAGCAAGGAGTAACAGGTTTGTGACATACTTTTCCAACTGTTTTCCAGGGCTCAATTTCAGAGTACATCTGAATGAAAGATATTTCTGAACTTTGAACACTAGGCAGTTGTTGAAAACAAGTTACTGGGCAAGGACAAGTCATAACAGAAAGTGCCTTTCAGCCAGGACAGGTATGCCAAGGAGGCTCATTCATGCATATATAATCCCCCAATATTAGTTTTACAAGAAACCAAATCCGAATTCTTTTTTCAGATCAAAGCAATCGTTAATCAAAGAACACAATGTTTGGGACATTTAAGGAAATGGCAGAGCTGTTCCTTACTTTGGAGGAAGAGTCTATCTTTAAAAAATGGTTTGTTTCTGCACATTCCCAACCTTGCAAGTAGTAGTCTCCACACTGTAAAAGTGCTATCTTATTACAGAGCTGTACAGAGAGAACCAGACATCTTGTAATTCTGTATAGACTACTACAAAGTACCATGTATTCTACTCACATAAAGGGCAAACTGTTAATCTAGATATCAGTTCCAAGAGTAAGACAGCCTAGATACCCTAACAACTCCCACTTAAAAACCCCCAAATGCTTTATAACATAAAATAATGTGAACTATCAGCAAATTAATTGAATAATGCATTTTTAAAGTGTATCATGAAAGCAAGGAATTTGCAGAACTCCAAAAATGAAGCAAAAATAACCTGTGAGGTAAGCTAGCACCAAAGCCTGCTTTTGCTCCAAGAGTTCTTTTGGACTCTGGAGTTCATGACCTAGCAGGAGAGCAGGGCCTGGACATAAAGCTGAATGCTTACCTAGGTAGAAGTCTTATTACAGCCACCATGGAGAAATAGGTAGCAAGCAGGCTTGTCTGCCTCAATTTTGGTGCTGGATGAAGGGGTATAAATTACCCCTAACCTCAAATTCATAACGACAGGCTGTTCCTCAGCTGAAATGTCAGTTGATAATTGAAAAGTCGTCTCAGGTTGGTTGCTTCTGGATGTCTGGCAGAGCAAAGTTCTCAAAGATCTCAATTTCAGTCCATGCTTCAAATTATTTGGCAAGGAATAGAAGTTTAAGATATCACAAACTCCACATGGCCAACATGGCAAAACCCCATCTCTACTAAAAATACAAAAATTAGACGAGCATGGTGGCATGTGCCTGTAATCCCAGCTGCTCAGGGGGCTGAGGCAGGAGAATTGCTTGAACCTGGGAGGTAGAGGTTGCAGTGAGCGAAGATTGCACCACTGCACTCCAGCCTGGGCAACAGAGACTATAAACTCAAGGGAGGATGGCACCGTGAGTAAAAAAATATACAACAGACAACAGAAGCATCCATAAAGACTCAATATTGGTATTAACATAGGAAAAAATTAATGACATTTAGAGAAATAGAAGCATGGAAAAAGGAACAAAAGATTGCACAGAAACAAGGAGATTTGTAAACCAAATAGAACTTGTAAGAAAAAAATACAATAATTGAAAACTAAAAACAATGGGGGAAAAAGAAAATTTGAAGACAAGGCAAGAAGGCAGGAGTGGATACAAAAATCTGTGACAGATAATTTATGACAAAAACCTAGAAATAAATATAATGATATTTGTGATCACAATAAGTATAAATGGACTAGACTATGCAGTTAAAAAGGCAGGTTTTCTTTGGCTTTATCTTTTAGGTATGTCTCCTGTAAACTTGAACTTAAAGGCCAAAGAAAAATCTAAGATGTACCAGACAGACTAACCAAAACATCGTTATCGTAAGTACTGACAACAAAGAAGATGAAGGCAACATGCAGTCATAGAGACAGAACCACTAAACAATTTTAAAAGGCTCACTTTACTAGGGAAATAGAACAATTCTAAATTAGTATGCACTTAGTAATAAAGTCAATGAAAAAGCAAGTACAACTTTAAGAGAAATTATAAGATCCATTATAATGAAATCTTAGATTCCAGTAAATAAATCAGGTACAAATTAAATCAATAAAGTTGTACCCAACACAACTAACAAGTTTAATCTGAGAACAGAATACTCAACTATTAGGTAATACACATTCTTTACCAATACACATGGAATATTCATGAAACTGACTACATGATAGGACATAAACTAGTCTGTTTCAGAAAACCAAACTCTTAGAGATCATGTTCTCTGGCAAATGATATTAGAAATATAGATTAAGGTTAGGCACAGTGGTTCACACCTGTAATCCTAACACTTTGGGAGTTCAAGATGGAATGACAGCTTGAGCCCAGGAGTTTGAAACCAGCTTGGGCAACATAGCAAGACATCTCTCAAAAAAAAAAAAAAAAAAAAAAAAATAGCTGGGTGTGGTGGCGCTGCCTATAGTCCTAGTTACTCAGGACGAGGCTGAGGCAGGAGGATCATGACCCAGGAGTTCAAGGCTGCACTGAGCTATGATTGTACCACTGTACTCTAGCCTAGGTGACAGTGAGACCCTGTGTCTTAAAAAAAAAAGAAATATAGATTTAGACAACCTACTATAACCTATCCCTGACATTTGGAAATATACTTTTAAAGAAACTAATGTGTTAAACATTTAAACCTCTTGAAGGATTAATCAAGAAAAATTAGAAAGCACAAACAGGAATGAAATGGAGTCAACTAACAGATGCTATGGAGACTAAAATGATACAAGAATAATACAGACAGCTTCATACAGGAAAAATCTTAAACTAAGATGAAATAGATAAATCCCTAGAAAAAATAATAAAACTGACAAGAGGCCAGGCATGGTGACTCACACCTGTAATCCCAGCACTCTGGGAGGCCGAGGCAGGTGGATCACAAGGTTAGGAGAT